GAGGGCTAAGAGGGGTCAGTGAAGTGTGGAGTCAAGGGGGGATAGGACAAGGAGACAACAGTCTGTAGGTAATCAAGGCTTTCTGCTCCTGCTGCCCCTGAATCAGGAAATGGGAGCCATGAAGCCCACCTTTGGCAGAGGCAGCAAGATCAGCTGCTCAGCCTAACCCAAGTCTATGCCCATCCTCGCTGATGCCAGAGACAGAATATGCAGGACACATTTCTGTATATTATTGTACCTCATGACATAATGTTGTATTGCTTGAAAAGTTCATCATAATTTGGTCCTGACATTCAGTCCTGATAAATTCAATATCAGACTGAGCGATACCATCACTGGAACCATATATGGTGGAACATAGAAAAGGTGCAGCATTTCCATAACAAATTTGGCTCCTAACTGTTTCCATTATGAGGCTTTTACAAAATTAAAACTACATATTTGCCTCTAAGGAAAATGTATTTGTTCATTGCATCCTAAAATAGCTCCGTTTTCAATTGAGTTACAGATAAATATTTTAGATTTGTGCATAGACCATGTTGGAAATGTAGCCTGAAAAAGGGAAAACATTGTAAACCCTTGATTATCTGAAAGTAATCACAGTGGAATAATGTATATATCCTCAACTCAGGCAACAACCATTGTAGGTTTTGTGACATTAGAAGCATGGCAGAAATCTATAACCTGAAAGAACAGGCACTATTCTGTGTCTATGTTTGTAAACATGTAATATCCAAGAATATCTGATAGACGTCATTAGATGTTTGATCATGGGTCATGAGAGCTTGTTCCTCAAATCTGCTAAGGCATGAATCTTCCTGTTTCTCAAACAGAACTCATAATTTTCAGTTAACTTTTGAAATAAAATTTTAACTGTAATTCCAAAGTATGTTATGCCTAGTTACCACAGAAAAATTCTCAGGGAAAAGCACATAGAACAAGCTAATCCTTGAGGCACATGAAGACTGTCTTGCAGTAATTTCTAGAACTTGGTAATTGAGATAATAGTGGGTAATCATCACTAATAAAAATTTCCATCAGATGAGTGGAATTATCCTGATTTAATTAGCTAGTGATCTGGCTTGTGCATGTTTATGGCTTTTGTCCAATTTGCTAGCAAAGGATAGTATATTCCAATACTAGTTACACTATCAAAGAAAACACACAGTCCAGACTGATGAGTCTGATGTTTCTTGTGAGTGGCTGATTCAGAGTAAAGTCATTTTCCAAATGTGAGTCCTAATGGTTTTTGACTAGGCTTATGTACAGCAGAAAATTACTCATTGATTATGGATAAAAAAAGACATTGAAAAGCTCTCTCTTTTGTTGACTTGATATTGCAGATCTATTTGTGCAAACAAATATCAAATTCTGAACCACACAATTTGGTATTCTCTATGTAAAGTGCACAATAATAAGCCTATGTCATGTGATTTTCGTTTCGGCTCTTTTTCTAACTGGCTGAGAATTTTAAAAACAGACAATAATAAATCGCAAATAGCAAATTATATTTCTACATTGAAGTGCCTTTCTTTCACAGAATCATAGAATAACAGAATGGAAGGCACCTGAAAGACCATCTAGTTCCAACCCCCCTGCCATGGGCAGGGACTCCTTCCACTAGACCAGGTTGCTCAAAACCCCATCCAGCCTGGCCTTGAACACTTCCAGGGATGAGGAATCCACAGCTTCTCTGGGCAACCTGTTCCAGTGCCTCACTATCTTCACTGGGAAGAATTTCTTCCTTATATCCAATCTAAATCTACCCTCTTTCAGTTTAAAGCCATTAACCCATGTCCTGTCATTACATGCCCTTGTAAAAAGTCCCCCTCCAGTTTTAAGTGCTTTGTGCAAGTCCTGACAGATGACATCAGTTGCTCCTCCCTTATTCACCAATACTGTAACCCCTTCTTAGAAGGCCACCACATTTGTCAGGCATGGTTTTTTCTTAGTGACACCATGTTGGCTGCAACTAATCACCTCTTTAGTTTCCATGTGCCTTAGCATAGTTTCCAGGAGGATCTGCTCCATGATCTTTCCAGGCACAGAGGTGAGACTGACTGACCTGTAGTTCCCCAGGTCCTCCTTATTTTCTTTTTTAAAAATGGGGGTTATGTTTCTCCTTTTTCAGTCAGTGGGAACTTCACCAAACTGCCACAACTTTTCAAATATGATGGATAGTGGCTTGTCAGCTTCATCTGACAGTTCCCTCAAGAGCCATGGATGCATCTTGTCTGGTCCTATGGACTTGTACACTTTCAGGTCCCTTAGATGATTTCGAACCTGTTCTCCTACAGTGGGCAGTTCTTCATTCTCCCAGGCCCTGCCTTTGCCTTTTGCAACTTAGGCAGCATGGCTTGAGCACTTGCTGGTGAAGACTGAGGTAAAAAGTCATTGAGTGTGTCAGCCTTTTCCACATCACGGGTGATGTGGAGACACAAATAATTTGGGCTGTTCTTCCGAGATAATTTTGAACTGAAATGTGTTCATATATGTAATAGTAAGTAATAAGGGATAGCAAAAGAGCATAACCAACAGTCCAAAATGAATACTAAAGTATAGTTGGTATGGACTAACTCTGAATTTCCTGGAGGAGGAACTATAGCACTTTTTTCCCCAGTTTTCCTTCTTCTTCTAATACCTTTTAAATTTATGCTTTCTTGGTACACCTTTCAGTAGCACATCTCATTTTTTGTATGTGAAGAGAACTTCAGTAAATTGTATTTATCTTTTGAGTCCTGCTGGCATAGTGAAAGATGTACCAGCTTCTATTTTCAAATATTTTCTTCTTTTATCTGTGCCTGGAAGAAGGCTCTGAATTTAGAAACTGAAGACATTTCTTGCAACTTGCAGCTGGCAGAGCAGAATTGCATTTGCTCAGCTTGAGGAAGAAAGTCGAAACAAAACCAGCATCAATTGTAGGAAAAAGATATTCTTGATATGTTTGGTAACTGCAGGAATGAGTTTACATTCTTGACAAATGAGTAGGATACAGAAATGTCACCAAAAAGGGACTCGCCAGGGTCTACTGACTAATCCTTAAGTTCTTTAAATTATTTTCTTATTTTATCTGTTATTATGTCTACCTGGAATAAAATTTTAAAAAATAGGTCTAAATGCAGTGAAACCATTAAGTGCATACTTAAGATAACCATGCACTGAAATATTCTTGGCATGTTCTTTACATCTGCAAGACTGATCCAAAGACTGTTCGGATTAGATTTAAGTTATAATAGCACAGAGTGAGCAGATATGTCTTAATTCTACTGAAGACTGAAGTCTGCAGAGCTGTAGTCCTAGCTCTTCCACATATTTCTGAACTGCAAAGGGAAATCATGTAAATACAATACAATTTGTATATTTGTTTTTAAGGTGCCAAACATTATACTATTTATCAAAATTTTCAGATCTCAAGTTTTTCCTGGAGAAGCAAAGGCAATAAAAGGCATCAACTAGCAGGGAATGGGGTTCACATTTTACCACCATCCTTCAGAGGTGATAGTAATTAAATGGTGTCACGGCACCCATAGTTCCATGGTAGTATCTCCATCAACAGGGTCTTCAAATGAAAACTGATTTTTTTATGAGCAGCCCACTGTTAGTACTGTTTGGCAGACAGGGTTATAGGCTTTATACAGAAATGGCTATGTTTTGTCAGCAGTCAGATTAGAGTTTCCAGCCTTAATAGCTATACATTTTATAATACTTTCTGTAGAGTTAATCAGGGAATATTACATGAAAATAATAATTCTGTATTAAATTATATAGCAACGTCCATAAAATATATCTTAAAAATTCATCCAGCTAAAGCAATATTATCAAGTTGAATGTTTTGAGCTACAACCAATTTTCAGGTATCATTCCTTTTAAAAGTGTGCCTTGAATATTTACTTGAAACATGCCCAGGTCCATAAAGAAGAACAAAAGTAACCAACTTTAATTTATCCTTCTTCCTTTTTCTCATGTTTCATGCCATCCACCTCTCCAAGGTCATTTTGGTTGCTAGTAACAGGATTGGTGGACACTGCTGCCTGGCTTATGGAAAGGGCATATGTCACCAGCAAACAGAGAGCTAGAGTTTCATGGACTCAAGGGCATACAGAAAAAAAACCCTTTGTCTTTAGCCCTTTTGTTTTTTACTTGTTGCAGCATCTTTTTGTTATTGCCTGTTTTGCAAATATAATTTTCAAGTTGACAGTATCCTTCTAATTTGGAATTCAGGGGATTTCTAGTATTTAGTTTTGAGCCTGTTGGTTCATTCCTTTCACATTACTAAGATTTATATGAAAACATGAGTACAGATGAAATAGTTTCTTCAGCTGTGGAAATGTCATACAAGATTGCATCACGGTAACAAAACAAAAAGCAAAATGAGAACTGTTACGTATGATTAGTACAATGATTTAGTGCTAAACTTTGATCTAAAGGTGGGTTTGGTCCTATTCAGTAAATTATATACAAAAGATTTGCCAAGTAAACTTTTTCCCTCTATAACATTAAATCCTGTCAAATCTGTCATTTAAACAACTTTTCTGTTTGAAAGAGATCCTTGTGCCTGTTGAAGTGAATGATAAAATTTCACTTCACTAGGGCAGGACAAGGCAGAAACTTGTGAGATGCACAGTTGTGTGTGGTTTAAAGTTAAGAACAAAAAGCTGCTATGTATTTTTCTTACTTAGACAGCATTCTTTTGAAGTTGTCCTGGGATTTAAAGACAAGCTTTTGCTATTTCTTTTAAGTATGTTGACCAGTCTTTGTACTTCTTTCAATCAACCTCAAATACTTCAGCTAGAAACAATACATTAACTTGATAAGGACACCTGTTCAAGTCAGCTGGTTCTAGCTACATCCTGTCCATTTTATATTAACAGTTGTTTTTATCTCCTGTGCACATATTTAAGTCCATATTTATTAAATTAGTTTTGCAGATTATGACAGGGAGTTTACTTATTTCCCACGTTGTCTTGATAATCGTATATTGATTTCTTCTTTATATTTAGGATATGATGCTTCAGCTGTTTCGGGGACTGGATTTTCTGCATTCACATCGTGTGGTGCATCGGGACCTGAAACCCCAAAATATCCTTGTAACCAGCAGCGGGCAGATAAAGTTAGCTGACTTTGGCCTTGCACGAATCTACAGTTTTCAGATGGCTCTTACCTCAGTGGTAAGTTCCTGGAGGCTTTTATTTTTCCTTTTAATTCAGCAGTGTACATTACTCTCTCTGTTCTTGGCTTTTTGTCCCATATTGTAACGTTGCTTCCAAAACCATCTCTGCAACTGAAGTTACTTGTGTTTCTGAAAACAATTGCTTTCCAGCCAGGATGGCAGTTGTTGTGGTTATTTCATACAAGTAATCAATTACTGATTACTGCTTCTAAATTAGAACATGACTGGTTACTGAAGGAAAGTTGGTGCTAGTTTTCTGAAACACTGAGTCTAGCTTCTGTGTGATACTGACTTCTTTTGCACATTAAGGCAGACAGGTAGGGTGAAAGTTTCTGCAGTACCTATTTTAAGATAATTTTTTTTCTGATCCCCAGGTCTCTTGCCTGAAAAAATACACAGATACTTGTGAAAATGCCACACTGTCATGCTTCTGATTTTCCATCTCTGTGAATATGAGTTCACTGCCTGCCCCCATATGTTACTGAATGATTCCAAATAGGACTGTGCTGAAGGCAGCTCAAGTGGACCTGGCAGCCAAAATCACAGCTATTTCCCAAGCCAGCTGTTAAGGAGCCCCTCCAGTGTCTCTAGACCCCCTGCCACTGTTGCCCCTCTCCCAGCAGCTCTCCTGGTTGTCCTTGGCTTAGATATGAGCTCACTCCCAGAGGGTCTGTCCCTCTCCTGCATTAATGATGGTAGAGAAGCCCTGCCAGCTCCTCGCTTTTTGACCCCATTTCCACACTTGCTGGCCATGCCCCCAGAATCAGCTGCTGTTAGCTTGGCACGGCACCTCCGAAGCGCATTAGGGAGTAAGTGTGCTGCACGCATGTTGGGTGTCACTTGGTTTTGTTGCCTGCTCATGAATTTTTTTGTTTCCATTTTCTATTCTGAGTATCACAACTGCCATGACAGTATCACTTACGCTAAGGACAGTAAAGGGCGAGTTGCTGAGAAAACCGAAAGGTGTCCACTTTGCATTTTACATCGTATTGTAGAAGTTAGCCTGGCTCACATTGATAAAAAGCAATGTCTTGTTATTAATAGTTACTGTATGAGTATTCCCATTGTTGTGTGATGTAACGATGACATTCTGGGTTATGGCTTCAGTGTGAACAAAGGCAGGAAGCAACAGAAAATGCTATCATCATCTTGCTAAACATAGGAAAGTACCCTCACTGCATAAAGCATATGTAAACTTCTCTTTTGGGGCTGGTTTTTTCATTGCCTATAGGATGTAGCCTAATCCAAAGCTGAAGGAATCTCCCTGCTGAGGCCAGTGAGGGTTGACTATGTTGTAACTCAGAACAGAGCTTTGAAGAAAAGGAGAGAAAGGTTGTTCCCAAATTGCTGAATTTTTTCATTTCCCAGTAACCAGCCAGTAACAGCTTCAATGATTATTTCTATTGATGCATAAAATTCTTTAAGCTAAAATTGCAGAGTGTTGTAGCTGCAGGAACCTGTCCATGATCATTGAGCCTGCATAGGAAGGAAGGTCAAAAGACCCAGAAATAGAAAGCATCTACTGAGGCAGAAACCTACCAAGACCTGCTTGTAAGAACCTTGCCAGAATTGCTGTGTGAAGGATCTGTGTATGCTCAAGTATCTGATACTTGTGCGTTAGAAATTGTGTTTCAAAACCCATTAGCTAGTACCCTTAGTGCTGCTGTGAACAAGCATTGTTCAGACTGAGGGACTGTCCGCATGCAAGTTTGTTCTGCATTTGCACAAGCATTCGATTATCATTGCAGCTGTGCTAAAGAGTATTAAAATAATTTAATTATTCCCTGACCAATGACAGATTGGTCAATGACCCAAGTATATGGGCAGAGGTGTAGATAATGGCTCTCACATCTAGAACTTAGTATATCATTATTTTCTTATTTAACAATCACAGTCTATGACCATGGCTTTTTTTAAGTTCAAAATTTATTGGGTTTAAAACAGCGTTTAACACCTTCAAAGTCAACATTTGGCTGTAGAAACCTATAGGGGAGTGTTGCTTACAATGTGATAATGTGGTATGGTTTTAAGTGTCAGTCTTCGCTGCTCCTGCAGACTGAGTGCTGATGAGAAACTTTTACTAAATCTGCATAAACTGACACAGGCCATCAGTTTTCCTTTTCTGAATATAACTTTCACTTTGGCTAGTTGCTTTGGTGTGCGAATTCTTCTTTTTTAATTCCCCCCATTAAAACTCAGTACAGGAAATAAAACTTTTTTTAAAAAAAAACTTGTGTTTTTTAAACATAAGGATGTTCTTGACTTTACTGTTTCCAAAATAGTCTAAATCACAGTTCTTCTCCAGGCAGTGAGTAAACTGTCATTGACTACAGCAGGACCAGCTTTCTTTTGAAGTATCTGCAGAAGAAAATACTGCATTATGAAAGACTGCATGTATCTACACATATCTCAATTACTAGAAGTCCTAGCTCGCAAAGATTTGCTTTGGAGTAATACTGAAAAGTAATGGTGCAGGCAGCCCACTTGATAAAAGGCACATTGCATGCGCTATCACTGCGATCAATGCAAGTGCTCTGCAGCATTTCCTTAGAACAGAAGCTTACTGCAAGATAAACTACAAGAATCATCTTTTGAAGTATCAGATCATTCCCAAGACGCATCCTCATTCATTGCTCACAAAGAAACTCTTCAGACAGGACAAAAAGAGCTTGCCATGAAAGTAATCCAGTAAAAACTGATCCAACCCTAGCACTCTGGGTGCTGCAAATGGTAAGTTCAAAGCAGCCTCTCTCTGACAGCCACAATGCTAAGAATCCTTCTGGAGGATCAGTCATCTGTCATTTAAAGAAACCTCTTGATATTTCTGTCAGTGAATGAATAAAAGATTCAAACTTAAGTTACGCAGGCTGGGGAGGGGCAGGGTGGAGATCACTGCTCGCAGCTGTGGTCAGACTGAGAACTGATACAGGTCTGAAATAACAGCACTAGAAAGAAGGAGGTCAGTCGGGGGTTTCTCAGGTGGTGGGTACGCTTTTGGTTTCATACAGAGTTAGACTCCTTTTCAAGTGTTGGTCTTGGCCCTTGGGGGAATTCTGAATAGGCTTTGTGATAACAGAGAAGCTCTGTAGGACAGCGGAGGTGGATTGATGTGGCTGCATAGTTTTAGAGTTTGATAGAAACATCTAATGAACTGTCACTGTTTTTTTTTCCTTGGTGAAGAAAAATGGGCACTCAGTTCTAACTTTCTCTGAGCAAAGGAACAAGTAGCTGTCTGGAAAATCTGAAGTTATATTATGAAAAAGCAATAAGCCATTTATCTATTTTTGTGGACTTCTAACTGCCTGGAAGAAAGGAAATGAAGCTGAATCATGGCACACGAGAACACTCAGTGAAATAAGCTCACACAGTGGTGATCACAGCATCTAGGTGGAGCTGGGGTTGTCCAGCTTTTAAAACCCAGCCCGTGCCAGGATCTGAGTGAAACTGGCAAAATGTTAGTGTTTGTAACACACTCATAATACTTTCTTTGAAAACGTGTGTTTTACCTTAGATGGCAGTACTACTGATGGGGTTTTTTTTCTGAAAGGCAAACAAAATTGTTTTATGTCTTCCTTTTTTTAAAAAAAAAACACTTTTCAGATTTACTGAACATCAGAAGGGAAAACACATCACTTTGCTGATGCTCTAAGTTGTCAAAAACTAGACTCAGCTAAATTGATGATTAAAAAGAGAAAACAAAAAATCCCGCAGTTACTGTCAGTGACTAATTTTAGATTACGCTTGCATTTTATTTCAGTGTTCCTTCAGGATAAAAACTTTCCATCCATTTCTGGCAGTCACTTCAGCACAAATGGTTTACATGTCACATCATGCAGGAACTTGGATTTCATTTTGTTGGTATAGTAGCAAGGGAGCATAAAATAATTTTCACTAACTGGGCTTACTTCATAAAAATAAATATATAAATTAGTTACAGCAACAAAAACAACAACAAAAAAAAGCTAGAAAAACCCTCTTCCAAAGAGGAATGAGTGCTTTCCTTTTTCTGCCCAACGTTGCATTGTAATTTTCTAATAAATGCCACCTGTTAGTAAACAATGTGAGTGTAAACTCTCATCTCAGCTAATAGTTGAAGGCACAAAGAAACTTCTTTTGCTTTGCCTTATTTTTGGAGGGTTTTTTTCCCCTTTTTTCATGGCCACCTCTTCCTGATACCATGCTTCCCAAAATCCACGTACTTATTTGCAAGTAATACACCCTGCAGAGTCCATTCCTACACTGGCTGTGTTCCAGCAGACCTTGAGCGTGTTGCAGTACAACTTTAACCTGAGATGCGTTGGGTAACCCTGAAGGGGCCTGATTCAGCAATCTGAAGCTCGCAGTTAACATCAAACATAGAGTAGACCTATGGAAGTGAATCAAGCACCTGCTTCTGGTGAACCAAGTCAAAATCTGGGCTGTGTTAAAGAGTGCCCTAATGGAATCAGCACAGTGACACGAGATTTTATCTCCTATGTAAGTTGATAAGAGCATAAATCTTCCTCCCTCTGACAGGTGGAAGAGACAGTGTTTTGGTATGCTCTGAGCCTTCACTGTTGTGAGGAAGCACACCACCTTAGATCTGAGCCCCAATCTCCAGTTCTTTCCCCATGGTGCATTTCTCCAGTCCACCCAATGTCCCTGAAAAGGAAAATGAGTCATGGACAGACATCCAGAGGATCAAATTATGTGTTGTTGAGCTTGTAAGTGCTGCTGCTGAAAGGTTGTGGCTATTTAGGAATGCAGTATGATTAAATTGGTTGGCTTATTTAAGGAAAATCTGTCTTCCCTACTAACACAAAGTTCTGCTTAAAAAGTCCATGTATCTGGCTTTGTGAAGAAACGAGTGAATTTCGCTGATATTTTAACATCTGGATAGCTGAAGGAATCGTTATTGCATCCTCCCAAACACCCTATAGGAAAGTTATTTCCATCACATAAAGTGAGTCATTTGTCTCCGGAGCCATCTTAAGAACAAAAATCATTATCAGCATATTG